GTGTCTGGCTTTAATGGTAGAAATTTTAAGTGTTTGGTCCTTGGCTCATGTTTAGGTGGTTGTAAACCATGTAGTTCATTAACTTTTGGGTGCTCTGGCTGTGTATCATTTTATTGAGCAACTCTGATAAATCTGAGGTGTTCTTGAGCTCATTTGGCTTATAAAAAGTTGCTTACTCCCACTAACTAAGGTGAAAAGCCGAGAAGAAACCTGGGGTTCTGATTTTTATCACTGTGTTCAGTCCAAAGATAATTCCCTCTTTGGTGCTTCAGAGATCGCTTTTCCAGGTGGATGCCTGGGTGGAAGGATTAGTTGTCCTGCAGTTCAAAGGATATGGAGGTTTAACTGATTGTCTTAACACTTTCAACAAATACTTTTTTTTTTTTCGACAGGCAGACTGGACAGTGAGAGAGGGAGAGAAAGGTCTTCCTTTGCCGTTGGTTCACCCTCCAATGGCCGCTGTGGCCGGCGCACCATGCTGATCCGATGGCAGGAGCCAGGTACTTCTCCTGGTCTCCATTGGTGTGCAGGGCCCAAGCACTTGGGCCATCCTCCACTGCACTCCCAGGCTACAGCAGAGAGCTGGCCTGGAAGAGGGGCAAGCGGGACAGAATCCAGCGCCCCGACCGGAACTAGAACCCGGTGTGCTGGCGCCGCAAGGTGGAGGATTAGCCTAGTGAGCCGCGGTGCAGGCCTAACAAATATTCTTAAGTTGCCAGTTCCTCAGCCTTTTCCCCTGGTGGGGATGGGGAGGGGGGCCGTCCTGTGTTGTGGTCTGAGATGTCCTCCTGTGAACAGCTACCAGTGTTTGGTTTCCTTAGTCTGCTTAGTTAACCGTTTCTAAGCTTTGTTTCTGTTGTCCCTGCTGTCCCTATGTTGTTGTTGTTTTAAATTGGAGATCATCCTCTGGTTCACTCTTCAGATGGGCAAGGCTGGACCACTTTGGAGCCAGGAGCCTCATCCATGTCTCCCATGTGGGTGCCAGGGCCCAAGCACTTGGGCTATTTTCCAGTGCTCTTAGGCCATTAGGGAGCTGGATGGCAAATGGAGCATCCGGGACATGAACTGGCGCCCACATAGGATGCTGGCAAAGCAGGTGGTGGCCTTACCAGCTATGACAGGATTCTCACCCCTATTTATTTAAATTGCTCGGTTTTTAGTAGACTGTCAGAAGGACTGGCAACGTTAAGGGGTATTTTTGTGAGTAGTCTGTGGTGAAAGGCTTTTGGGAATTGAAAGGGGCACGTGAACTAGGTTATTAACAGGTAGCTCTCAACTATACTAGGATTTGGCCAACAAAGTAAAGGTCACAGGTAACTTGCTAGTTTGTTACAGGTTAACCTGTATTTATTTAGTAATGGACTCTTGGTATTTGGTAATGAGCTGTTATGTAGCTTTGATCTCAGTTCTCAGATTAGTTGACTCTTGTTAGAACTACTGATCCCACTTTTCCCTCAAGTATCGAGCTTTCTAGGTTTGCTGTCCTTCATCAATTTTGGTACCTTTTGGTTTATTTGGTGTCTGCTGCCAGGTGAGTTGATTTTTCTTCCTATGGTTCTGGTTTCCTCCTCTTTATTCCTTTCCTAATCTTCAGTGTATTACAAGGATGCAGATCTCATAACCTATTAACTCCTGGCTCTTCATTGTACTTTGTGGTGCACAAGTAAGTGTGGAAGACCTGATATAATTTTGAAAGGTCGCATGACTAGTAATTTTAAGATTCAGTTATTAGACCTTTGTGTTTAACGCTGTACTGTTTTATTCCTTGGAAAAGTTTATTTTTTGTAGTTGAGATTACCTTGAACTTCAGAAGTACTTTATATTAGGTCTTGAGGTATTAGCAAGTTTGGAGACCAGGACTGAACCCACTACATAGTATTTGTGTTATTTCTGAAATGTGTAAGTATTTGGTTTGGGGTCACATTAATATGTCAAGGTTTATATAAGGATGAACCCAAACTTAATAAAAAGTGATTTCTTGGAGCTAGTTCTGTGGTGCAGCAGGTTAAAGCCCTGCCCTGCAGTGCTGGGATCCCAAATGGGTGCTGGTTTAAGTTTTATCTGCTCCACTTCTGAGGCAGCTCCCTGCTAATGTGCTTAGGAAAGCAGTGAAGGATGGACCAAGTGTTTGGGCCCCTGTACCGACGTGGGAGACGCAGGGGAGGCGTGAGGCTCCTGGCTCCTGGCTTCTACCTGGCCCAGCCCTGGTTGTGGCCGTCTGGGGTATGACCCAGCAGATGGAAGACTTCTGTCTCTACCTCCGTTACTCCACCTTTCAAAAAAAAAAAAAATCTTGGGGGAAAAAATGTGAAGTCCTCATGATTGGTCCAGGAGAGAGATGGTTTAAAAAAAAAAAAAAATGATTTCTTAACTACCTACTTTGGACACAGCTGAGCAGGATAGGTCCTTCTTTCACTAGCCACATTTAAGCTACTATTTAGCATAAGTTAGCATGAAAATTTCCATGGATAAAAATGTTTCTGGCAAATTACATACCCAGTTGTGCACATTGAAAGCCCAGCATTTTTTGCCATCATTTATAATCTGGTAGGTTGGAGAATGGCTGAATATTTGGTTGGCATTTCAAAGAGGCTAAACCATATATGCTAGAATCTATTATTTTGGGGATGTTATCTGGAATTCTGCATTTCACATACTCCAAGTGGCAAGTGGTCTTCACTATTGTATTAAGGA